TTGACTGTCATTATTGTTTTTTTTTAATGCGTAGGCACGGGATAGCGGGCTGTCACTAGTGAAGTACCGTCTTTATAGACTGGCTTTAATTTACGCGGTAAAACACGTGAGAGTTTAAGATACGTTTTATGGATTCATTAAATTCTTTTGATGTGTTGAACAATTAATTAGATTTTTGTGATTGCCAATCAATAAGTATCGCAGTAACGTATAACGTATTGATTATGTACACAGTATTGTGACTCTTCCTTACTTCCTAAACTTTATATATAGTGTTTTGATACAAGTTTGATGATGATTCTGTTTTGATAGCGAGGTTAGTGTAAATAATAATAATATATAATAATATTTCGGACATCTAACACACAACGCCATCTAGTTTCAAACTAAGCAGAGCTTGTACTATGAAAGCTAGATTGACTGATAGAATACTTATGTAGTTTTTTTTCGTAAATACATATATATTATTCATAGAAAACACCCAAACTCCGAAACAAAAATTTTGCAGATCATACACGATCATACACGGTCCGACCCGGGAATCGAACCCGAGACCTCAGCGTAGCAGTCACATCCGCTACCGCTGCACCACCAACGCAGTCAAGGATTGAGCATTTATGCTGCTGCAATATATACTAGACGTATCACATCACATCAACGCCTATAATAGTCCACTGCTGAACATGGGAAAGAAAGGAGGTTTTGGTCTACAATACCACGCTGGCCAGACAGGATGGTGTAGGGTTTGTTTATAATTTATAGTTTATAGACATATTATATTTTCAATTAACAGTATATCAATTAATCAAATAAGAAAATCGTTTATAATTCTGAGATCTTTTAATCTGTATAGTAACTAGTGGCCTACCGAAGGTTTGTTTTCGGCCAGTTTCGGCCAAAAAATCTACCGAAACTCAGTATTCGTAAAGTGTCTTGCGTAATTCGGTTAACTTTCGCAGCTAACTCGTGGACATCGCCTCTGGCTCAGTTCGCCGCCGTCTAGTGTGATCTGGTTTGGTGTATGGGGGCAAGCGAGCAGACGGGTCGCAGGATGGTAAGTGACTATCGCCCCCTATGGACACGTACAACTTGACTGGCTCGGTGGTGCAGTTATAGCGTATGCGACTGCTGTGCTGAGGTCTCGGCTTCGATTTCTATGTTGCACCAAGTGTTTGTATGATCTACAAATATTTATTTCAGAGTTTGGATGTTTTCTATGTAAAATTTGCATGTTTTAAATGTTTGCAAAAAAGAATATGAGTATTATATCAGTCAATCTAGCTTTCATAGTACAAGCCGAAATATTATTATTAACTTGAAAGCCACCAGTACATTGACGTTCAGTTCTTCCCCATCCCCCCCTCAGAACCAGGAAAGGGGAGAGTTTAGGTTTGGGTAACCTCTTTCACTCGGTTAAAAGTAATGAAAGATTAACTTACTTAACACCTGTTTTCTGTGAGGTCGAGGTATCACTCCGGTCGAGCCTGGCCCACATATGCCGAGCCATGGCACTCCCTTCTTATTAATTGTGTTTTGCACATAAATAATTATGTATTTCTTTTGTTTTTACTTGTATAGGTCCAAGTTTTATCTCAAAGCCAATTATTAGATATAAAGGTTCGTTTTGTTCAGTTTTATTTATTAATTAGTGACACACAAAAGTGATAATGTTCATATAGTTCATGTAATAAATTAAAGCCATATTGCAGAACGTTTCTCAAAACTCAAGCGTTTCTTTAGCTTTGAGAAACATTCTGCAATATGGCTATATGGTAATGAAAATGGTAAAGTGTATAAGGCGAAAACTAACCTCTAGTGTTGAGAATCGTTCAACTTTAACTATGAGAAAACGCGTATAGTCCGTTTAAATTACCTACTCAGCCACCTCTACTCGTCTTTTTCCGCCTATAGCGTGAGGTACCTATCTAGATAATTTGGTCAGGTGAATTTTGAATGTACTTGGTACCTACCTACGTATTTTTATAATTTATAATCTACCTACCTAAATACATATTCTCCTGCTGAGAATTAATGCCGTGCGTGTCTCCCTTATTACATTGGTTTTAGGTGGTACGTAGGTATAACCAGATAAATATATAATAAAAAATAGGTACACTTGATTTCAATATACAATCGAAATCTTAAAAAGATAATTTGAGTTTCGGTTTCGGCCGACACTAAAATTAAGGCCGAAACTTCGGTTTTGGTTTCGGCTGAAAACCCTGTTTTGGTCTTACAGTAATAATAACATTAATTGGTTTATATGCCAATACCATTGTATTTGCTCAATGGCCAATACATATGGTCTTTGACTATATAATATTGAAGAAATAATACAAGTTATATAAGTTGTGTTTTTTCTTAAATACTATTAGATATTTAACAGTTATATAATAGGTTTATATCATCGATCAGCAATAATTTCTATCTATAATTACTCAACAAGAATTGAACCACTTTTTTACTATGTAAAGCCAATTAATGGAGTTAATTCACATCATCATATCAACAGCCTTTAATAGTCCACTGCTGGACATAAGCCTCTCCTTAGAAAGGAGGTTTTGGCCTACTATACCACGCTGGCCAGACGGGTTGGTATAGGGCTTCTGTCAAGTTTTCCTTCTCCCTGCTGTGCTATTGTTCTGCGTAGTTTTCTCCCTTAGTCGGCTCTTACGAATACGGGATGAATAGGGGTGGTGACACTCTGTATTCTTAATCCGTCACCACACGGACAATCAAACAAATTTATGTTTTCACTTATGTTCACTAAGAATGCAATTTCATCACATATGGGGATATTAAATCTACTTGATTGACTACCTACTTAGGATATTTAACACCTTTTTTGAGTTTAGAGAGGGTTTTTAGTCTCCAAAATCAGAAAAAAAGTTATGAAAACAAAAATAAAAGAATTACACTGCACAATGAAATAGTTGTCACTGTGCAGTGTGATTATCTCGAATAATGTGATTTTGCGAAGATTTCCTTTTAGGTTCTGCTTTGTTCCATTTAACAATAGTCTAAGTCTAGTGAAATGAAGTTCCGAAAATCTTTCGGCAGCCCCTTTTATAAAACTAAATATTATAGCATTTTATTCCTTAATTAGAACAAAATTATAAAAAATATAAATCTAGTTTTTAGAAAAGAAATTCTGCAGATAAATGTTGAACCTCTTTAGCGTTATTACTGAACTATTTTCATTATTTGCACCATAAAATCTAGCCGACTTAACAAAAAATGACATTTTATCGCGCGTTGAAGAATAGCATCTTATTACATAGTTTTTGTCCGAGGTCCAGCACGCTCAAGCCTTCGTAGAAAAAATAGAGGGACACTAGAATTATGGAAATATCAAAGGAATGCCTATAACCGCACGCGCATGATTGCGAGCCTCGCTCTTTTAGCACTAAGTTTTTTTTTAAATAAAATCAACTAAAAATTACGATGTTTTTATAGGTGTAATTTTTAAATATGAAACCCAATGTTGCTTTTTTTTGTGTGTTCGTAGTGCGTTTATATTGAATTACCACAGATTATTTACAGTTTTACTTTTGCTTGCTGCGTATGTTTTGCTATTTATAATGCGGTATTAAGCCTAGTTACCAACTGAACCAAAATTCAAGTATGTAATTTTTACTGTTACTACTGTTAGCAGAAAATAAACGGTTTAACATTTATTTTCTACAAACAGTTTTATGCTCAAGGCAAAAAAAAATTAAGCTTTGTTTTTTTTTAATTATATTACAGTATTACCTTACCAAATAATTATAATAACGAGTACTGCAATAACACTCTTTTGTTAAGCTACTTAATCATATTACTTATTGACTAAATTCAAATAAAAAAGCAAACCATGAACTAAGAACTAAATTAGAATTCAATTTTCAACTAAATTTGCAAGAAAATAAATAGTGTAAGAGTTAAAAAAACTGAAAATTAAGTTAGAACGAATACTTCAGAGCCATGCAACACTGCTTTCCCTCAAAACAAATCATGAGAATCTTCCACGCGGGCTATACTATATCATTTATAAAATATAGTGCCATAGAAAATGTCGCGCTCGCCAAAGACTTTATCATATTTCATATTATAATAAAACATTCCTGACGCATAAAAGTATCATTGATAATAATATCTGACACTCCACGCCTAAAAATAGCAAAACCAACAATCGGAAAAATATAAAGATTGCAAAATTACAGCTGCACAAGCTCCATAAATCTCTATCCATAGACAGCAACATGGCCGCTTATTCTATATTGTCTCTGGTCCACCATGAATTCCTTTTATTCGCTTATTAACAAGCGTAACTTTGGAGCTTATTTAGACTTGTAGTAACATTAACATAAAGGGTATTTTCGTTTGCATTTGGAGGTTATATAAATTTGTAAGTGCACAGCGATGACAATCTAGGCAAAGATATCCCGCAGTTTTATTGAACGCAATAGAGAAGCAAAAGTATGCTTATCAATAAGATATGTATTTATATTACGAATAATAATTTTAAAAATAAAAGTAGATATTCAGATTTACCAATATAGTTTTACTATCAAATAAAAACTCTTCGTCAAGTATTTCTTTTTATTTTTCTATTCAATAATGTATAAGAAGAAATAATCGTAAGTATTTTTATTGTTTTATCTCTCTGGACAACTCAAACAATTAATAAACTTATTAGGAATTAGAATTAGGAAAAGCAGTAAAAATATGATTATATTTTATAATTTTACTTTATTATTAAATTATACACTTTATTAATTATATTGCTTAAAATTTCGCCGAGTAATTATTTCAGACATACTTAAAACAGCATGCCTTATCTATAAAATTACAATATAAACTTTTGAAATACAATATTTTATTGCCATTATAAAAATGCGTACTGACACAGAAAACTACAAAAAGATGCGAACATAAAATAATAGGTGCGAGATATTTCTGTCTAGTTGTCGATAGGTCGGTGAAGTATTATAACTTTATACCATTATAATGATATTTACCTCGGTTATTCGACTTCTCTCCAACCCGCCCTGATGCAGGACGACATTTGAGACCGACGTTCGATATCTGTAATGAAAAGAAATTAATAAATATATGTCGTTTTCTTTATGTGTAACATTTTCCCTCTCGCTTGCCTGTATGTAATCGGTGGGAGAGAGGTCGTGAAGAGGGAGAGAAGTGTTTAAAAGGAAGCGAGCGCTATTCGATTTGGCCGGTAAGCGTGCGCCTGACCTTAAGAATAGACTTGAAATTGGCCTTAAGATGTCAAATAATAGACATTAGATTCTACTATTTTCCTTGAAACTTGAAATAAAGATACGCCCATTTGCCTCATCATCATCAACAGTATTTAATAGTCCATTGCTGGACATAAGCATCTCTTTAGAAAGGAGGTTTTGGCCTACTACACCACGCTGGCCAGACGGGTTGGTATAGGGCTTAGTGGAGCGGATGGGTCGTCCACTGAGGGTGAGGTGGCGTCGGGGACGCCTATCTCGATGGGGCTCCCAGAAGTCAGTCTGACGCTGGTCTCTGGGAGCCGAAGAGCATCAGATCGGCTGCGCTCCGGATCCGCCGTTTCGTCGGATGGCGCTGACGCCATGGAGGCGGAGCGAAGCGACAGCCGGAAACGAGGACGCTCCAGGGACGAGGAAACCGACACGTCCCAGGAGATGATGCCACCGAAGGTGGCAAGCAGCCGCCGAGGGAGGGCACGCAAACCTGCCTCGGCCTCGGTCTCGACCCCGTCAGGCTCCGCGTTCTCAAACGCGGAGTCGTACAGGAATGTACGAGTGGACGGCGAGGCCGTAGCGGAGGAGGAGATCGCGGATCTCCTGCTCAAGGTTCGGGAGCCGGTGGGGGGAAATGCCCCCCAGGCTTCCGTGTCCGTGCAGGAGAGGGCGAAAGCGGCGGTGGCCGTCATCCACAAGGTGGCCACCAAGTCCGTGAACCTTAAGGGCTCGTTTGTGAGGGCCCTTAAGGACTCCTCCTCCGCTTTGTCGGAGGTCGTGGAGAGCCTAGTGGGCGATGTGTCTCGCCTGCAGGTGGCCAACGAGAGGCTGACGGAGCGGGTGAACGAGCTGAGCGCTCAGTTCGCCCGCTTCCAGGCGAACCTCCCCGAGCGGGAATCCCCGTCCGCGTCCCAGCCTGCCCCTACTACCAACTCAGGGGCATTTGACTCCCAACTGCGAGAAATCCTCATCGCAGTTGGGAATATGCTGGACGGACGCCTGGCTGGCCTGGAGGCGAGACTGCCCCCTGCGCCGGTTGTGCGCCCCCCCGCTCGCGTCGACACAGCGGCCTAAGGCCGCCGCTCCGACCGCGCTCCCCGTAGTGGGAGGCCGCGTCTCCTACGCGGCGGCGGCGTCTGCCCCGACTCCATCGGCTCCCCAAAAGCCGAGGAGGGGGGCCAAGGCACCGGCCCAGGCGCCGGCCAAGGCACCGTCCCAGGCGCCGGCCAAGGCGCAGGCCAAAGTGCCGGCCAAGACGGGGCCTAAAACGGCGCCGAGGAGCGGAGTGGCATTCCCTCCGCTCCCCACTCCGACACCCCTGCCGGGCCCCTCCGCACCTGCCCCCTCCAACGAGGGCTGGCAGGAGGCGAGGGGCTCCAAGAAGTCCCGAAGGCGGGCCAGAAGGGCTGCCCAAAAAGCAGCCCAAGCCCAGCCTTCGCCACCGGTGGCAACGGCCTCTGCAAAGAGGCCGCGGAAGCTGCAGCCGCCCAAAACCGCGGCTGTAGTGGTGACCGTGTCCCCGGAGGCGGCGGACGGCGGGCTGTCCTACGCGGCCGTTTTCAAAAAGGCCCGGGACAGCCTCGCCAACGATTTTGGAACGGTGGGGGTCAGGATGCGCCTCGCCCAGACGGGAGCTCGAGTCCTCGAGTTCCCTGGGGCTGAAGGCGCAAAGACGGCGGACTCGTTTGCTGAGAGGCTGCGGGGTATATTCGCGACTACAGATGGTGTGAGGGTCGCCAGGCCTACCAAGTGCGCGGAGCTGCGCATCTCGGGCCTGGACGTCTCTGTGACGGCCGAAGATGTCCGCGCTGTAATCCGGGAGAAGACGGGGTGCAGCGCGGACAACGTCAGGGTCGGCACCATCCGCCCCGGTCCAGGGGGGCTTGGCGCCGTGTGGGTCAGCTGTCCCGTAGCGTCGGCCAAAGTATTGGCCGACGCCGGCAGGCTGCTCATCGGTTTCGTGAGCGCCAGGATCACAGTCCTGGCGGCGAGACCGATGAGGTGTTACAAATGCCTAGCATCGGGGCACACGCGCGTCAAGTGCCAAAGCTGCTTTGACTGCAGCGGACTCTGTTTCCGCTGTGGTCGACCGGGGCATGTGGCGGTGGAATGCTCTGCCGCCCCTCACTGCCCGGTGGTCGGCGGGTAACAAGCCCGCCAATCACCAGATGGGGCAGGGGGGCTGCAAGCCTCCCCGCAACTCTCAGCAAGCATCGGGGGCTAGCCAGTCGACCCAGGCTGCCTCCGATATAGTTCGTGCGTCGACGTCGTCGCCCATGGAGGAGGCTGTAGAGACGATCCAGTAATGGATCGGGTCTCCAGCCTCCTGGTCCAGACGAACCTGAACCACTGTGCCGCGGCGCAGGATCTCTTCCTGCAAACCATGGCACAGTGGTCGATAGGTGTTGCCGTAGTCGCGGAGCCCTATTCTGTCCCTCCCCGTCCAAACTGGATGGGTGACTGGGACGGCTCCGTGGCAGTCGTCGGTTCCACGACGGCTCATTCCCCGCCCTTGTCGCTAAGAGACAAGGGCACTGGATATGTTGCCGTCGAGTGGGGGGGGATCACCATATATGGTGTTTATTTCTCCCCCAACCGGAGTTTGAACGACTTCGAGGTTTTCCTAACCAGCTTGGAGACCTCGATACGGCGACTAGCGTCTGGGCACGTCCTTGTGCTGGGGGACTTCAACGCAAAGTCCATTGCGTGGGGTTCCCCCAGGACGGACGCAAGGGGCGCGGCCGTAGAGGAGTGGGCGGCCTCGGTGGGCCTCTGTCTTCTAAACAGAGGCTCCACCAACACGTGCGTGCGACAGCAGGGGGGGTCGATAGTGGACCTCTCGTTCGCTACCCCTGCCCTCGCCGCACGAGTAAGGAACTGGTGTGTCCTGGAAGAGGTTGAGACGCTCTCGGATCACCTGTATATCCGATTTGAGCTCTCCCGGACCCAGGACTCCAGTAGGGGTCACGTGGCGCGGCGTTTATCCCGCTTTCCGCGGTGGGCTGTTGCCAGACTGAACCGGGACCTACTAGAGGAGGCAGCCATAATTCACTCGTGGCTGTCTCCTCAGGCTCCGACCGAGGAGGTCGACGTGGGGGCTGGCCGCTTTCGCGATGCGATTACGCATATCTGCGATGCGGCCATGCCCCGCATTCGAGGTCGTCGGCCTCCAAGGAAGGAGGTCTACTGGTGGTCCCAGGAGCTGGCGGACCTCCGTGCGGCCTGTACACGTGCCCGGAGGTCCTACACACGCAGTCGGCGGCGTCACCGTGGAGACGGTGAGGAGGACCGGCTTCATGAGGAGTACCGGCGGGCGCGGAAAACTCTGAAGCTGGCCATTAGCCGCGCCAAAGAGGAAAAGAGACAGGAGATGCTGGAGGGTCTTAATCGTGACCCCTGGGGTCGCCCTTACCGCGCGGTGCGACAAAAGCTCCGCGCGTTGGGCCCCCCCCTTACGGAGACTCTCCAGCCCAGCTTCCTGCAGGAAGTGGTCGAGGGCCTATTCCCGCAGCGGGCGGAGCACACACCCCCGTCGATGGCTGCATCAGCCGGAGACGACGGGGGCAGCGAGGTCGATGTTCCGCCCGTCAGGGAATCGGAGTTGGGGGCGACTGTTCTACGGATTCGATCCAAGAACACCGCCCCCGGGCCGGACGGGGTTCCAGCCCGAGTGATGGCCCTAGCCCTCGACTACATGTCGGACCACCTCAGGGGGGTGTTGGACGCTAGCCTGGCGTCCGGACGCTTCCCTGAGCGTTGGAAATGCGGGAAGCTGGTCCTGCTGCAGAAGCCGGGACGGCCTGCCGATTCGGTCGCGGCCTATAGGCCCATCGTGCTGCTGGACGAGGCGGGCAAATTGTTTGAGAGGGTTCTTTCTGCCCGCATCGTCCGGCACCTCTGCGAGGTGGGCCCCGATCTGTCGGACGCCCAATTTGGTTTTCGGGCGGGGCGTTCGACAGTCGACGCCGTGTTGCGCCTGAGGGCCGTGACCGAGGAGGCCGTGAGCTGTGGCGGCGTGCTGTTGGCGGTGTCATTAGACATCGCCAACGCATTCAATAGTCTGCCATTCAGCTGCATCAGGGAAGCACTCCACTATCATGGGGTGCCAAAGTACCTGAGGCGGCTAGTGGCAGACTATTTAGAGGAGCGTACCGTCGTGTACGAGGACCGAGAAGGTAATCTGAGGTGTCGGCCCATGTCGTGCGGTGTTCCACAGGGGTCTGTTCTTGGACCCCTCTTGTGGAACATAGGGTACGACTGGGCCCTTCGCGCCGATTTCCCCCCCGGGCTGGGTGTAATCTGTTACGCAGACGATACCCTCGTGACAGCCCGGGGGGCAAACTTCCAAGAGGCGGCGCGCCTGGCCACAGGGGGAGTCTCCCTGGTGGTCGGGCGCATTGAGGCGCTGGGCTTACGGGTGGCCCTAGATAAGACGGAGGCCCTGTTATTCCATGGGCCCCGTCGTGGTCCACCCCCTGGCGCCTCAATCGTGGTCAACTCGGTCCTCGTACCGGTTCGGGCCCAGATGAAATATCTGGGCCTGATCCTCGACGGGAGGTGGCTCTTCGACGAGCACTTCCGACAGCTTGCTCCAAAGCTGGTCGGCGCTGCGTCTGCCCTAGGGCGACTCTTGCCCAATATGGGTGGACCCAGCGTCGCGACAAGACGGCTGTAAACGGGGGTTGTCCGGTCAATGGCACTGTACGGTGCACCGGTGTGGGCGGCGGCTCTGACCGCCCAGAATAGGGTACGCCTCTGGCGCCCTCAGAGGGTAATGGCGGTCAGAGCCATACGCGGTTACCGCACCGTTTCTACGGAGGTGGCGTGCGCGTTGGCCGGAACTCCCCCGTGGGATTTGGAGGCGGAAGTGCTCGCCGAGGTTTATCGGCGAGTGGCTGACTCCCGGGCGGAGAGCGGATTTCGCCCTCCGCCCGAGGATGTGCGCGAGTGGCGCGAAGCCGCTCGCCGAGCCACGATGGCTCGTTGGTCGTTCCGGCTGGAGACTCCACGCGCTGGCTTCGCCGCCGTGGAGGCTCTCCAGCCGGTCATCGCCGAGTGGGCAGGGCGGCAGCACGGGACCCTTTCCTTCCGACTGACGCAGGTGCTTTCCGGGCACGGTTGCTTCGGAAAGTACCTGCACACGGTCGCTAGGAGGGAACTGAGTCCCGCCTGCCACCACTGCGACTGCAGTGAGGACTCGGCCCAGCACACGCTGGCGGTCTGCCCCGCATGGGCGGCGCAGCGCCGGGCCCTCACTGCAGTCATCGGAGTGGATCTCTCGCTACCGGCCGTAGTACGCTCCATGGCCGGTAGCGACAGTTGTTTTACCGCGGTCGCAACCTTCTGCGAGGTAGTAATCTCGCGGAAGGAGGCGGCGGAGAGGGCCCGGGAGGACGACCTCCACTCGGACCCGATCCGCCGCCGGCGAACCGGGCGGCGGAGGCCCGCCTACCACAGCCTCATGCCGCCCTGAGTGTGGCCGCGGGTGGACGGGGTGGGTTTCCCCTCCACCCGCATTAGTTTGGCCAGCCGCGAGGGGGCGGCGTCCGCGTGTGCCGGACGTCGCCTAAAGAGAGGAACATCTACAATGAGACGGAGCCCGCACCAGGAGCGGGCTGGCGCTAGGAGGGGTCCGGATGTCTTAACAACAGCTGTTCCCGGATCCCTCCTGTTACAGGCGCAGAGTGGCACACCGTGTGGTTTTAGTCGGTCCGAGTCCGACACACCACCCCGCCGCAAACCCCGGAGGGGTGACGGTCCGAGGGGATTTCCACACGTTAAAAAAAAAAAAAAAAAAAGGGCTTGTGTCAAGTTTTCCTTCGCTCTGCAGTGCTGTTGTTCTGCGTAGTTTTTTTCCCTTAGTCGGCTCTTACGACACCCACGGGATGAATAGGGGTGGTGACACTGTATTCTTAATCCGTCACCACACGGACCATTTTCCTAAAAGTTACTAATAGCCAAAAACGCTCACGTCATAAAAGATGTCATAGTTAGGGTAGTCTAGTCGGACAATGGCCTAGGCCACATTTTCCCTAAAAATCTCTGTATGACAAACACTCAATAAATGTTAAAAGTAATTAATATAATAATTATTATGTTTTGTGGATTTATGTCAAGGTGCAACAATTATTAATATCATAATATATTACGATCTAGTTCATTTATCAAAAATATGAAAATGAAAACGTACAGACAAAGTAAAAATAGTGGCTGTAGCTTGTGTTTTCTTTTTCTTTATTTTCATATATAGACAATATTATTATTAACTAACGCAATTGTTAGAAAAATTAAGTGTCACAGACGGAGCTTTATTGTAAAATTTAAATGAATAAAATGGAATTAATCGCCTTTTATAAATACTACATGAGTATTATAGTTATGCAATATGATACATTCCACATTATTTTATTTTACAAGAGATAAAAAAATCTACCAAATCTGATTGTTATCACTACTACATTAAGCGCCAAAATATAATAACAAGGCCTAACAAGTCTGCACTCAGCTTAATTACATACCTTTTTAGTATAATAGGGTCACCACATGTTACGTTATTCGTAGTCGTTCTTGGGTAATACATTTTTACTTAAGTTACTTACTTTACTTAAGTTTACATATTTCATTTTCTTGTCATATGCTTAACCTGGTTCTGTTTTACGGCAACTGTTTAAAGTAAATAAAGGGTACATAACTAACTGAAGAGAATGCTGTGGTATTGTGTACCTAACTATAAACCTTTAAGAGTTATAACCAAGTGTAAGTTCGATAGTGTTTTATGTCTTTAATGAAAGTAATTTGATTGATTTACAGACTAACTTTACTTTCTAAGGAGAGGCCTTTGTCCAGCCAGTGGACTACTAAAGGCTGTTGATGATATGCTGATTAAATATATTAATTTTCCTTTTTTTATGTAAATGTTTCCTATATTACTTATTGCTTTCCTTAGCTTAAACTTGGTTTATAAAATTTAATAAACATAAGTTACCCAATTTATACCAACATTTAAAAACCTGCGACTTATACAGAATCGCGACTAGTCTTCTGTTAAACTAATGTCTAAAAGGCTTATGTCATTTTATATGCTGACGTGTATGCAAAAATTTCATATCTATGTTGAGTATGAATATTTAAGACGCGAAAGCGTAACAAAAAAATAATTAACTCATTTTTGCAATTATAATATAAGTTAGCAAGCTGATACCATTTCATTTCCCTGAACTCAAAGTATATCAACCTTGTTGTCACACATCATCAAATCAACAGCCTTTAATAGTCCACTTCTGGACATAGGCCTCTCCTTGACAAGGAGGTTTTTTACTATACCACGCTAGCCAGACGGGTTGGTATAGGGTTTGTGTCAAGTTTTCCTTCTCTTTGCAGTGCTTGTTGTCCTGCGTTAGCCTTAGTCGCCTCTTACGACACCCACGGGATGAATGACACTCCGTATTCTTACTCCGTAACCACACGAAAGAACTGTAGATAGACAAGTAATTCTCAATAACAAATTCCTCAATAGTAAATAGGTGAACTGACTTATACGATGTTGATGAACATAATTTGGTTAATGTAGAATGTCCATAGACACAATGAAGATAATTTCAAATATATCTCAGTGTTACCTAAAATGATTTAAAAACGCTTGACCTTGAACATTCCCAAAAAAAAGTATCCTGACACATGGTCATCCCACCCATTGTTAAGTTAAAACCATACTTTTTTTAAAGACACGTTTCCCAGACACACCAAGGACCTGCCAATGTGACTCCTTTGACTTTAGCAGCCGGTTCCTTGAGCAAACATTGTGAACTGGACCTTACTTGAAACCCAATACCAGCCTTAAAATTTTACGTTACCGAGTCAAAATTAGCGTTTCATTGCGCGTTTTTTACTGTATGAACTTCGATTATCGGTATTTAAAGAGCAGCGGTATGTGCGTTGGCGAAATTTTTGTAATTACCTTCGTGTAATTCCTCTCTTCATACGAAAAGGTTATGTAAATGTAAGCTACTTTGAAATCGAAAGTGGTCGACTGGCCTTGAGTAAGAGGTTTTTTTGTTCAACAATATTTTCGAATTAGTCATACACATCATCTGATTTAAAAGTATAAATTACAATAGATATAAGACTCTTTGAAGACTTTAAGTGATATTTTTCTACTAAAATCGGGCTAAATACTTTTGCAAGAACTATACATCAGGAAGCCGTTACACCGATAGGAACAGGTTTAGTAGACTTAAATTTAGCCGCTCATACTTTTAGTACCAGGATTATCCATACTTGTAGTAATAAGTGTGGAGGAACGGGTGTCATGTTCCTCCAACACAAAGGGAGGATCCTCCGACCATCATGCATAGCGGGCCGGGGCCCAACGGTTGCTGTTGTTCATATGCTAATCGGCGAGAGAATTGTTAATATCGAGATACAGGATTAGCAGTTACTCCATACTGCGGTCTGTCTTCGTTAGATGGCGCTGTAGTATGTTTCTTTGTTTAGTCGTAATGACATATTGCTATCGAAAACAACAAAAATGTTTTTTTATCACACAGAATTGGGAACACCGGAATTGGAGAACTACCTCCAACGTAAAAGTCAGGTTAAACGAACCTACTTGCGAAAAAAGGGATTTTATTATAAGAGTTGGTAGTTACAATACTTGGAAGTGTTATGGAAGAGCTTTTAAACAATTTAAGCTAAGTCGAAGGTAAGGAAAAACTGTTTTAGTTTCTATTTATTTATATCACTAAAATTAAAGTGACGGCAATAAGCTCTGCTCTGCTATAAGTACCCAATTATTGTTATTGCCATTGTATTGCAAACGCAAGATTTGCAATACATCTCTACTTCGGGAATAGAAGCGTGAATATATGCATGTATGTAAAGCTTTTTAGCGCCATTATTAATTTAAACTGACTGCTAAACAGTTCTAAGAGAAGGCCTGCGGCGTTTTGTCTGAGACATTTGAATAAACGTTCTGCCATCCACACTATATTTATTTACCAAGGACAAATTTATTTTCAGCAGAAATCGTAACTAAAACAAAAAACCATACAATCACGTGTTTTATTCCTGAAGATGTTCTAAGGGGTAAAAAATGTCCACATTTTGACGACTCAAATTAGTCCCAGTTACATTATGGGGAACACCTATTGCGATCAACCGGACACATTATAGATAAATTACACCCAGACACAATAAATAATCGTCTGTTTATCATATGTCATCATTATAGGTCTCGGGTGGGAAGCGAACCCACCACCTATGCAATCAGTATCGCTAACGATCACACAACAAGTCCGTCCAAAAAAAAACTGTCTGTGTTTTATAATGCTTGATTGCTTCCAAAATTAAAAAAAAAAAACTAAATTACAGCATCAATGGGACAGTAGCATAAAATATTATATTATTGCTTCTTAATAATATTCAGGTCTTACAAACCCTTGCCACCTAATATTCATTTAAGTGGGCAGAATTCAGTATTACCATAAGAGACGCATTTCGACATTCTGTACAACGCAATACAAACGGCCGAGAGCACCGGATGACATCACTTTAGTTTTTACTAAATATATTTTGACAAAATTCAAGTTCTTTCGAATCCTTTAAAAGCAAATTTAGAAATGATGTCAGCTTTTGGTGTCGGCGTCCTCGCACAGATTAAAAACCCCATAAATACAGATCCTTTCGTTTTTAAATTAGCAAATACTTTTTCAGATCATTAGTTCTTATCATATTTAAAAAAGGAACATGTTTTTTTTTTTAATATGCATCATCATAAAAAAGCTTATTATAAACGGCAGTTTTTTCTTAAGCACTAATTTAAAAACAGAGTTCATATAATTCGGAGAGCGCAAAATAAAACGCTTCTCTGTAACTCTGAACTGAGGATTGTGAGGGCCGACACACAACCGATGATAATTCCACTCTCAAGGTTCAATAACACGAATTTAATTAAAATGACATTCATTTATTCAAAGAAAAAAAAACTACTAACAAAAAACGAGAACAGAGACTAGAACGGTGGGTTACATATTATAAAAGTATTTGGCCGCCATTTCGTAACCATCTATGTTATTCGGATATTATGCCTATCAGTAACTTAAATATGTTTCTGATGATGAACACATCGCTTACAGCTCAGTGTTACCGCGAAAAAATTGCTATGCACTATGTGCTTTGTAGAAAATCTTTCTATAAAGTTCTACAATTTAAGACATGCTCTTTAATTATAGACGTTTATGAACATAAAAATCAATTACTCTTGAACTTCACATGCGTTACTTTGTAACATAAATGAATAAAAAAATTAATATAAAATATAAAACTTATAAAAAGAATCTCTATGTGACATCATTCTCGGATAATGTTATAATTAGAGTCAGGTGGTTAGAACGTCACCTTTACGATCCTTGACGATGTCTTACTATAAAGTCGTTGCTGTATGTAATTCAAATTAACGATGATATAATGGATATATACTTGAATATTATTTATTTATTTACAACTTTATGCACTTATGTACAACGGCGGGCTTAATGCCCAAGGCATTCTCTACCAGCCAACCTTTGGGGGCTGTAGAAATCTGAGGTTGTAGTTGCTATAGCAGTTACAACTAACATATACAATCACACACATACATACACACATACACGCATATACATATATAGATATAAATACACATAAAATACATATACTTTATATTCGTACACTGTAAATATGGAGGCGTACTATTGAGTAGGTAATTCCGCCAGCTGAAGAATGTAGTTACGTACATTCTTTTTAAATATTATTGTAGACAATAAGTATTTTTTGAGGGATTATTTTAAAAAACGTCTCGAGTATAATTCATATATTTGCTCTCACGAAAAGTGTACGAGTGGGACACAATTCTATCCTAGACCGAAATCCTGGACCGTTCCGACCGTTCAGGCCTACTTTTGTCAGCCAACTTTAACTAACTTTTAAAAGCGACTAAAGTACGTGTCAAAGAAGAGAACAATTCCGCGTTCCATTATGGTAATGGCCCCCACGCACGTCTGACTAACAGCGATCGTTGATATGGAAGGACAAGTGCTGGATTTGGGTACAAGTTATTAAGCAAAGACATTTTCGTCACAAACGACAATATATAACTTGTTATTAGACCTTTTAGGTAGATAACTAAATTAAACAACGGTTTAAAATGTTATTTCAATATGGAATCAAATGATTTAAGGGACTGACGATCAAAGAACTTATAGCACGAGATGCAAGTAAGAAGCGAGGGTCATTAGGTCGTCTAAATGTATTTATATTTAAAAACATCTAAATTGTAAACATGTATGTTCGTGTAGTACTATAAATAATACATAAATATGTACATAAATAGTACAGGTGTGCGGCGCAAAATTCCTTTATATTTAAAATATTGGCTGGTTTTTCAACGGGATAATTCGGGTTAAAAACAGTTCGTGGCAAGTTATTTGAAAAAAAACGGAACAGGTTTAAAAAAACGGTTTATTGAAAAAAAACAGGAATAAATCATAATGGAAAAACAAATAATAGGAATTGAAATCTCAGCATAATTATAAATCTCCCAGATGCACGACAGAACCGTAAAGACGCAAAGTAAGTCGGTCATGGAATA